TAATATAAACATTTTTTCTTAATTTTGAGAATAGCTAGGAATGTGTAGTTTTACTAAGATATGTTGTTTTTTCCCACTCCGGAAAATACTTTTCTCACAACGTAAGTACTTTGAAAAATGCGGATTTTCGTCCGTATAGTACCTACATTGTTTGTAGAATTTTTCGAAATTCCCAATACTTTCCAACAAACTGTATGCTTTATGTTAAAAAAAAAAAAACACTCAAGGTGAATGAAATGGTTAGACTATTCACGTAATTTTCGTCCAGTGGTACTTGAAACACTTTTTAAAACCGTCAACAGTTCATCTCCTAGGTCTCTAAATTATTCGCATCGTACCATAACAAATTCGTCATTATCGCCCGGTGATACTTTGTAAAAAAAAACACTACTAATAATACTCATCCGCTGTGAATCGATTTTTGATTGCAATAATTCATCGTTGCTTTCAGTACCTGTATAAATTCAATTACCCTACAGTGTAGGGTTCAAAATATTTTCGGCATATACACTCCACGAAGTTGTTGCACAACGTTCTAAATTACAATTTTGAAATTTTCTGTTTTCTCCCCGTCGATTTTTCCATCACCACGGAAAAATATTTATAAGAGTTATAAAATAATTTTCTCGTCGCGCGCTATGGGAGTATAATGGTATGATTGTCGTTAATTAAAACATTATTATTGTCAGTGTACTGCAGTGTCGTAACAACGGCGATCTATAGATACCCCAGTTTCGCAATATTTATATTAAAGTACGAACGCCTACATAATAATATCGTACTGTACTTATAATAACATTATAAAAGAGGACGTGAAAAAAGAAAACCGCTGCAATCGTAATGTGTGTGTGCATCAGTCATGCGACAACGATAAAAACGATAATCCTGACCTACTGTGAGTAACCCAATCGAAGATAAGTTTCAACGTTATGTAAACAACAAACAATATTCTTCCATAACAATATTACAAAGTTTAAACGCTTTCGGCCGGTTGTGCGAGAATCGTATTCCCGTCGGTGCAGACCAGCAACGCAAACCCAGTCATTGATGACAACGAGCTGCAACAGCCGTCGATTAATCGTTACTGTACTATCGAGTTTTAACGCGTGATTTGGACAACGCGTTTTTTTTTACACGATTTTAGCCGGGCTCCAGAACATTAGCATTCGCATATTATTTTTGGTGACACCTAGGGCATTCTCGGTAAGAGACAAATTCGTTTCGTACTTCGCTAATGTCATACGCGACGTTTTTTTTTTTTATTTTCCTGTTGCTATTTTTCGCATACATAAGCATAGGTACTTGTAGAGCTATTTTGCTAATAATTAAGATATTTTGCTTCGATTTTCGAACAGCGCGACCAAACGCATCCGAAAAAGATATTCGGTCGTATTCGGTTGTTATGGCCGATCTTATCGGACAGTTTTCCCGTTATCCACCGATAGTTTTATTATTTTTAAAACCGTGTTGGCCGCATCGTCATGCATTATTATCGGAAAATTTAACTGGGAAATTCCATTTCGCCTATTTTCCAACTTGTAGCGCTTATTTTGGTGATTTTAAGTACATATTAATGGGATAAAAGTTAACTATTTTTAGTGATTTTACTTCAGAGCCCTGTCTATAACGTCATACATATTTTATTTGAAACAAAGTTACGGAGTAGCAAGCATCTTGAGTAATATTTTTAAAAAATTTGTAAAGGAGCAATCGGTGGAGCGATAAGTTCCATATAATAGTTTGTCTGAGTTAGATAAAAACAAATTAAGTGTGACACCCCCCGTGAGTACGCTTCTGTTTATTATGTCTCTCTATACACCTTGTATACTGTACCTGATCTTGTATGTATCAGGCAGAACTTCAATGCAGTGATTCCCACTAAACAACACTAAACTTACTCAACTTAAATTTACATCTAATTTTAGGACAGTAAAATATGTTTGGGGAGAAGGGGAGGAAGGAAGAATTATTGCAAAAAAATAAATCATTTTCAACCTTTTTCTTGTTGTGAATTTATTTATTTATTAAGTAAAAATACAAATTAAAGGATGATTTTTATTTCTTAGAAATTTTGAACCCTAAAAACTCCTTCTGCGTTCAACGCTGAATTCTAACTAGTGTAGTTAAGAAAACTGACTATTGTCTAATGTGAAGGGGAAAATATCAGTACAGATAATCATATAAGCTTGAGCGTACCTATATGATAAAAAAAAAAAAACTAGATTGAAATGACCTAAAATGATCAAAAACTCTGTGAAAAAATAAAGACTGATCGAATTGGGTATTAAAAATATAGATTTTCCCGTTTATGAATTGATGTAAGATTTATTGCTCTTGCGCACATCACGCAAAGGTTAAAATTTCGAAAATAGACTCAACGAGTTTATGTTGAAAACGTCGGTCTTCTTAACAAAAAAAGTCAATTTCAATATTTAAGTTCATCTAACTGAAATGTTATCATTTGAACCAAACACACTGTAGAATACAGTAGAATACAATAGAATACAATTATACTACCATTACAATTCGGATGTTTTCGTCATATTTAACATTTAACGCGACCATTTGTCGTCGCGCCAGCATACGACAATATTAAACTAACCTTTTGTACACCAATTTATTACCAGACAGAATAACTCTTTACGGTAGCCAGTGACCCCAATAACAGTGTTAATTGTAACTGTTATAAAGGTTAAACCAATTGAATGGAATTGGACGAATTTTGATTTTCTGAAATTAAGTCAAGTCCGGTTAAAAGGCCAATCGAGTTAACGAGTAACGACAAATAAATGTATCGAATCAACGACTCCACCAAATCTAAATTAAACATAAACATCGTTATCTTAATACTACAGTATTACAGTGACAATTTATTTGTTATAAACTCAAACCATTAACGTGAAAATCTTATTGGAAGTATAGTATTTTTTTTTTCTTCAATTATCTGCACCGGACCGATAAGCCCAACGTTAACATTTCTTTCAACACCCTAAGCGGAGCCGCTATTTAAAGGGCTGGATGGCTAATCAGACAACTGCCCGACTTGGTTTCCGACGCCTATCAGCCGGATAAGCACTAAGCAGCCTCTGCAAGCCACTCATCATCTTCCTTCATGGTCATAATCGTTTCGATTATAGCGAGGAAGTCCAATAATACTCTCCTCCTACCCAACCTTAAAAATGGAATATTTCGCTAATACGGAAAATACAAATTTCAACAACAAAATTTATTTTAACTATAACATCTAGCTATGGTATATATGGAATTTCTAATTTAGGTTGCTATTTAAAATTCAAATGTGGGTTATGGTTTCACGCTAATAAGAATGGCCAAAAATAACGGTAACATTTTAGATCTACTTCTTCCCAAAAAATTTAAAACTCCGAAAAAAGTAAAAATTTTCCGAGACAATAAATATCTTTACGAGGATAGATTACACTGTATCAATTAGAGGTACTTTAGAGGTAATTAGAGGTATTAAATAAGGTTGGCGTTTAAGGTGAGTTACTTCAATATAGCTAGCAAAAATATAATATATTTAGGTGCAGTTAAACGTTAATTATAAACGATATCCACTCATAATATCCGACATCGTTATTATACAAAAGTCGATGGAAAAAGATTTTTAACAAAAATTAATAATAGTAATCAACAATATTGAAACGCGTCAAAATATATCTAATTTACGGGCCGTTGCAGTCGTTGCACTATACAATACAGCGAATCAGGCTATCACTATGAAAAAGACGGATAATGAGAGTGGGAGCAGCCACTGTTATAGGTAATTTAATGTATTCCTCTAAGCAACTATACATTGCTTACGAAATAACTATTCTGAGCGGAGTTTAGTTGATAGCGATTAGTGATGCTTTGTCAACAATATACATGCCATATTATAGTAAAATAATTAAATGGGTTCTATATATTTTCTTTAATACTATTTGTTTAATATCAGTACAAAATACTCCGGTTCTCCTACGTTTTCGCTGATTTTCTCATGTTTTTTCCCAGTTTCTCAAATCTGCTGAAAAAACTCTGGAGAAAATCGAAAAACGACATCTCTAAAATACACCCCCCCCCTAGTGAAATTTCTTTTTAGACAAATTGCTATCATTAAAAGTTGGAGCAAAACTTCTGGTATAAAAGTTGTCTACAGAAAAAAAAATCGTAATATTATACAAATATATTTCATACATTTTCCCATTTTTTGCATTTGATGAGAAAATTCTTGAGAAAATCGAAAAATGACTTCTTTAATGGACCTTTCTACGTCAATTTTTTTTCAAAAAAGGTGCTACATGTAAAATTGGATCAAGTTCTCTGGTATATAAGTTGTCCACAGAAAAAAATAAAAAAATAAACATCTATTTCCATTGAAATAAATTACCTGTTTTTGTACACAGGTGTGTTACACAAATGCTCAATTATTGATGGGTTTAACTCCTCATTAAGGAAAAATCAATAATCTTTTAATTCGTTTATTGCATAAATCGTTAATAATTATTTTGTAACTCCTTAATATAATTTATTCTATTTATTTCACATGCTGAGTGTAATAAACAAACCGTTTATAGTTTAACCAATAGTGTTTTTCTGAATAATTATTTAAAAAACTGACAATAGTCTTGATTTTATTTTTTTTTATCATAACTACAAGGGAAAAACCATCACAGTACTAATACTATACAATTATTATCTTACCGGTTCACCGAGCTCCACTCAGAATCGTTTTTTTATCGCAATGATTCACCTTTTTTTCAGCATAATATAAAATAAAATTATTGTCCTATATTATTCATTCGCGAACCTCTACAGTGTTGAAAAGATTTACTGTATAGTTACGAAAAAACATTGACGACACCCGATTATAGCAGATCGATTAAGTTATACAATCTCTTAATTTGTATAAATTATCAATCTAACTATCTTACCGGTACTCTGACACTAAGTTTACATTGATAATATTACATTACACATGAATGATTTTAATAAATTAAAATATTCAAACGTCAAAATAATATGTTTAACATAATGATTCAGAGAAAAATTAGATTTTTTCCCATTTCTTTTTGAAATCTAAAAATCCGTCTAAGTCCAAAATGTTGCATTTAATCAGTTTCAATAATTTCAGAATAATACTTATCGTTTCACTACAATGACATATTCTATCGGACTGTGATTCGGTCTAAATACTGTTATGCCGTGTGTCCGTTGGACAAAGAAATAAAATATTCAATCACGCTGTCACGAACAAATGATAAAAAAAAAATACTGAAATACATATAGTATAAATATAAAACTCCCTACTCAATTAAAAAATGTCAAGAATTAACAGTTTTAATGTTGTCAGAAAAGAGATGGTTACTGAAAGATGAACTAATGTTATGAATTCATTTTATATAGTTATATTTTATAAAGTATATGATCGTGTATACTTGTATTTATTACTGTCAATTATATTACTATATTCTTCATGTATTTGTATTATTTATTATTATTTTTACTTTCAATGTAACTTTAATTTTTTTTTTTTTTTTCAGAAACTCGTCTATCAAAACAAGAATTTTATCCTTAACGATAGACGATGCAGTGTATTATTAATTCATGTGTGCCAATATTGTAAGCTTCAATACTGCTAAAAGAAACTATTATTATTGCTATTATACACCAGTATATACAAGTATATTGTGTATTGTTGGTATAGGTATATGGATTATACGACTAGTGCGTACAATTTTCAATCGAAAACACGGTAAATATTAAAACGTATTCAACTTTATTTAAAAAAAAAGTACAAAAAAGGATTTTATAAATTTAAAAAAAACATATATATACGACATATGGATTCGTACCTACCGCGTTATATGATTATAGGCACGTATTAAAACGATGATGTTCATTGTTTCTTAGCATTGTCGATGGCCTTGGTGACGGTCGTCTGAAATTTTTTTTTTAATCAAAATTAGTCGTGTTATAACTTATTTTATTTAAATTTAAAAAAAAAAAAAAAAAGTCAAAGTCTAAACTCGCATATTCGTAGCGGTAAAGAAAATATTAATAAAACAATATGTAAACGAGTGTTCCGCGAATAGAATATAATCGAATCGCTAAATGCAAGAAGAGGCACGGTGTCAAAATGTTCAAGAAAAACAAAAATACTTAATGTCCCTAAGAAACAAAGTGAATAACTAATATGTTATAGTTTTAGTTATTATATTATCTCGCGAGTTTCCGCAGTCCTTTTTATGAAATATTATAAAACTCTGGGCGCTTAAGGCGATTGTTTCTTTTTATTTTTGTCAAAACTCCCCGAGTAGTTTCAACTTACTTCGACTTCTTTGGTGGCCTTAACCACTGAATCGGTGATTTTCTTAATGTCGTCCTTGTATTTATCGTTGATCGGCTTGGCGATTTTGTCGTCGAACAACGCCTTGGCCTCGTTGGTCTGTTTCTTGATTTCCTTTTCTAGCTCATCGATTTTATCCTTCAATTTCACGTCTACGTTTTTGGTCAAGAGTTCCTTCAATTTGTCCAAATCGCTTTCCAACTAAATATATTGTATACGATGAAATAGTTGAACCAATTCGATAAATAAAATGTATATTATTATAAAAACGCGAAATTATAAATATTCTTACCTCCGTTTGGCTTTTGTTGAGTAAAGACTTGACTTTTTCGTAGGACTTTTGGTTGTCCGCGGCGCTGATCGGGATTCCGAGCCATTGATTCAAATGGTTGGCGACGGAAAGGCCGGACTGTGCGAGTTGGTCAGCGACTTTCTTCACCTCATCGCCGTCAAACACTGTACCAGACATGGCCTGCACAACGATTGTTTATTAGCAATGTATAAATGCGCGGGAAAAAATGATTGATATTTTATTAACGAAAATCGTATTATAATATTTATAGCCGATGTACTCGTGTATCGAGCGAATTTGAGTGCAACTCTCTGACCAGCGGCGCCGAACTTATGTATTAGGTATGGCGGCTGTCACTCCTAATTCAAAGGGTGGTATAAAACATTGTACATTTTACAATTAATATAAGGACCAGCAGACATAGTATTCCAAATAACGCGAATTTTTTTATTCCTATTATATATACCGCCGTAGAGCGTACTGTACGATTGAATGTAGTAAAAACAGATTACTATTTAACTACAACTGTTTAATCAACAGTTTTACAATATGAGTAACCTAAATAGTACCCAATAAAAATTTCCACAACATCGCGGCTACGGCTAAAAACTCATATGGTAAATAAATGCGAGTAAAAGAACTGGGGACGGCTGCGGCCGCTGTCATAGCTGGGTAAAGTTGGAAAGGCGGAATACATAAAGTTTTTTAATTTATACCTGTAGCCAACGTTAGACCATTGTTAACGAGAATCGGATTCGGGGAGAGAAGTTCGGTCACACGCGTGTGGAAAAGCCGTGATATTTACGATTTCCGTGATAATATGTTTTTAAAACTTTTATGAAAAAAAAAACTACATTACATTCGATGTAGTTAGAGACTCGCCTAATGTAACAATTTAATAATATTACGCGTAAAATCGAATCGTAAAGAAATCTTTTGTTTTTTTTTTTTTGTTTCTTCGACTAATCAATGTATAAATTATATCTAATAACAATAACAATAATATTATACACGGTCGACTGATTTGATATATTTAATATTTATCATAATATAATGTGATAAATATATTTTGTTGTTTTTCTCTGATAAATAGCGTTGTCGATACGCGAATTTTATTTCGAACGTCGAATCGTGAAACGAATTTAGGGAGAGTAGAATTACAAACGTAGCCAATATACGTATATTGTTGTGACGACGTTATTTGTGAAAAAATAATATAAAAAATGATAAAAATAAAAATAAAGAATTCTCACCTGTCCGACTAATACGATCGCGAAACACAAGACAATCTTTCCGTACATGGTGTTTGATGTTGGATTTTCAGTTAGGTACAGTTGTAGTCGTTGTAGTAGCGGTCGGCTGCAAACGTATTCGTATACTGATCGGTCGAGATTAAGTGGGTCGGCTTTTATAGGCGATCTCGATTATCAGCTCGTCTCCGCCGGACTAATTATAACGATATGCATATGTATAACACGTATAAACACGTATACAATATTACGTAGTGTATAGCCCGTGTACTTGAACTTTAATTTCACATTTGTTGTGTTTGTTTTAATAACGTCATCGCTGTAAGTAACAAAAAAAAATTGCCCGTTAAAAACGCGCATGGCGCAAGGATATTATAATATTATTACGATGTTCGCAAAGGCTGACGTCAACATTACAGGTATATAATAATTATTCGTGTTGTTATGTTTTGTATTTTGTACATTTTTCAATAATTTTACGTGTGAGAAAAATATAATATTGTCGACCCGTGTAGAATATATAATATTGCTGAACTTTGTAATGGTATACGGCTGCTTTTTTATACGATCAATATTGGACAAGTTTATTGAAATAAACGCATTATTCATTCGTGTTTACTGTGTAAACGAACGTTATTACCCGATTTCGTAATATTTTAGTACAGTCAATACCATTATAATAATTGGACCAATAAAATCAAAAAAAAAAAAAAAATCACGATATTATATGTACACAGATCAAATTGTGCTTGCAGCGTACTCGAAATCGTTCGGCGGGGAGGGAATCTAGTGAATAATAACCACAATGAATAAACCGTAGAAACGTCTTCTGTTATGCCTACCAAAGGGAATTCCAAATCCGGATCAATGAATCGAATTTCCATTCATTAAATCAATACGTACACTTAATAGTATACACATTCCGAGAGTGGATTGCCGAATACATTAGAGCCGCCGTACTTTCAAGCCAATAGCGAGGGATATAAGTGTATACAACCCTTATTGGCTTCACACCTGCGCACGTCACCGCTGACACCTCAATCGAAAATACGTACCAATTCATTTGTAAACCGGGCCAGACTAGATTCCCTGGCACGTGCACTTTCGAATTTTCCAAAACAAATATTACGGCCTTTCGAAACATGTAAAACCGAACTCCGCTCAGAATCGTTTTTCGTTAGCAATAATAATTCGTTAGGTACATTAAATTCCCCTATACGTTCTACCTTCCCAACTTCTCGTCTACAACAGTGGCCCACCCATCGTACAAAGTATGTCCGCCTTTTTGTTTAGTTTTGGTCGACCGTGTAAAAACAATCACTGCGGTATTATTTTGTTTCGGTTGATTTATATGATTTCGTTGCATAATATTATGCGTCACAATATTATTGGAAGCGTTCGGCGAACGTTGATCGTTATTTTTTGAAAATTCATTTTTTTTTTCCGCGTTTGAGTTTAATCAAGCAGATATTTAAAATTTAGTATGTCCGCTATAAAACACTGCGGTAGGTTTTATTACGCAGATATTTTAGACATAATATTCGGTATACGAATATCTTCGGTTGCCAGATAAAACTCAAAATAAACATTTTCTATTGTAAGCATACGAAAAAAAAAAAATTGAAAACGGACAATTGACTAAACATTATACGCAGAGTGTATCACGAAGATCTGTCACCTGAAATAACTTTTGTTCTTATCAATTTATTTTTTTATACAAATTAGTGTAGCGTTCCAATTAAAATATTATGAATTTTTTTTTTGCGGGGAACCGAAAATGACAAATTTAAAATTTCGCTACACGCATTTGTTTTGAGAAAATTCAGTCGTTTTGCTGAATATAGATTTGGTGGTTCGAACTTTCATTTTGATATTTATGGTATTTTATTTTAGAATCTAAGCGGAGCGAGGAATGTACCCATTGGTTTTTACAATGATGTTTATTTTTTTTTATTTGTGAACAACTTTTCTACCAGAAATCTTTATAAGTGCAGCACTTTTTGAAAAAGAAAATCTGATTGGGGAGGTACTTTAGGGAGGTCGTTTTTTTTATTTATCCCAGAAGTTTTCCCAATAAATGGGAAATTACGGGGAAAACGGGAAAATATGTACACAAAATGTACACCTGGTGGAAAAAAAATTCATGGTATGCTCCGACTACTGATTAAATATCATAATAAAGCATTATAACTATATAACACGTGTCTATGTAAAAACTAGTATAATACACTCATATTTCCAAAAACTTTACAACAATTTGTAGAAAATAAAAATCGTATCGAAATAAACGTTTTTACCGCCAACAGTTTGCTAGAAATCTAGTTTGTAAAATTATTCTATTAAATCATTTTCTCTCTTTTTTTTTTAATGCATTCCAATTTTCAATTGATTATTACATATATTATACATCATGTATACGTTATTTATTTTATAATTCTACATAATATAATACTAATACTAATTTATACATCATATGTTGAATACATTTTTACAATATTTTACAAACCGTAAACCGTATAGGAATATTATTTTCTGTTTATTCTATAAGTATACAAATCGTATCATATACATAAGCAATAACAAAAAAAAAAAAATATTATAATATAAATGACCTTCATTTGACACTTTAATCAAAGGCATTAATAATAATAATAATAAACGACCGCCGTCGTTCTTATAGGTACCTACACGTAAAAAAACAAAATTAATATTAATAAAGAAACTCACAGTATTATTATAGTCGTATTAGGCATTTTAGGCATATTACAATATGGGCAGTGCGGTTTCAATGCCGACCGCGATTAACGCCAACAAATATAAGGGATATACAGGGTGTTCCACGAAGATTTCGATAAAAATTCAATAACTTTTATTGTGTTCGTTATTTTAAGAAAACCTTTTTCTTTTTGTGATTCCTCTAATTTAAAGTTTTTTTTTTTTTTTAACACTAAAAGTAAATCGAATTGTTTACGAAATCCAAAATAATAAATTTATAAATATATTTTCAAATACAATTCTGCTGTTCCAAATAATTACTACCGTTGATGAATCGTTAAGTATCCAAAATTTGTTGAAGTTTCAAAAATCATTAACAATTTTTTCGAAGTTTAAGATAATTTAAATTGTTTTCGTTGCCACCACTGCCTAAATAATTTCAATCGATTCTCCAATTTTTCTATAAAAAATAATTTTGCTAACGATTTTTGTAAACTTTAAAAAATTTTAGAAACTTAACGATTATATTTGTAATACCAAAATTTTGCTACAAAACATTATACTGATAAAATGGCTGTCTCGGGTATTGTAAAAATAATCTTATTATTTTTAGTTTTAGAAAGCAAACATAAAATAGACGAATCATTACGCATTACTTTAGTAATTATTTTAGACAAAAAAAAAAACAAAATGAAAAACATCAAACAGAATAATAATTATTAAATTTGTCGAATCTTCGTGGTATACCCTGCTATTATCGTTCAACCGGCAATTTTCTACTCAAAATTTCGAAAAAAATTCAGTATTTTCAATCGTACAACTCGTATATGTAAAAATAGAATCGTTTAATGATCTTATAATTACAAAATATTTGCAAACGGCAACTAAAATGTTTAAGCTGATTCGAAAAACTATATCATCTCTCTATAATACCTACTTGTTTTTCATAAATTGTATACCTATAATTTATAATACGCATAATACAAATACTGGTAATGGATTTGAGTTATATTATAGTTTACGACTTTGCCGGAGGAGTAAGGAAGATTTTCAGTGGCGTTCACAGAAAGAGAAGATTAGGTTAAATTTTACTTTCTCCATATACATTGGCTTATAGAAATACAACTGAGGGTATCCCACGAAGATTTAATAATTTTTATTCTGTTCGATATTTTTCAATTTTGTTTTTTTTTTTATTTGCCTATAATAGTTACCGAAGTAATACTCTATAATTCGTCTATTTTACATCTTTGAGTGGCTATATTTAATATTTAATAATTTTATCTTGAAATAATGTATTTTAGTCAAATTACAAGTAAAATGAGCTTAACTTATTGAGTACAACTGAAATTTTTTTTCCAACATTTAAATTCTCATTATCAGGTTAAGTAGGTAGGTAACAAAAAAAAAAATTCTGCGATTTTTCGTGATCACTATATTTACTACATCCGTTCCTGTTGAAAAATCATGGACACGACCGCTGCAGAACAGGGTGGTCATCTCGTAATTCACAAGGGCAAATAGGAGTGGGCTTGACGGGACTTAACCCCCCCCCTCTCTAAATCAAGTCCTTATCGAGTAAATATTAAGTATACATGATCAATATGATGCGAGTGTTAAGTCCCCCTTCCAAATATTTGGGCTTTTCGTGCCAATATTTAGATAACTTTTTTCTTCTGATCCGGTTTGAGTTTTAATTCGTTATAAATCACCATAAATGTAGTGTGGCGCATGTGCGCATATCAAAATGTATAGAAAAGGTATTTTCTTTTCGAATCGTGGTTAAAAAAAGTTGAGATTATATGCGGTTTTAACGGTTACGTTTGTTACGATCTTACCTATTTACCGGTAAACATCTGAAAAGCGTTAAATGTTACACGAGGTAGCTGCAGGAACATATTTTTTTGGAAGTAATATAATATGATTTAAAACAATATATTCTGTATTATACGATCGTCGAAAACGTTCAAAGTCGAATTTACCCGACATCTCCGTATCATATGAGGATATTTTAAAAGAATCACCCTGTAGATACGATATGCTGTTATGAACTTACGGGTTTAGACTGTTGAGTTGGACGGTTAATATTTTTTAATTTTTTTTTAAATCGTTATAAAATCGCATGTACTTTTTTTTCTCAGAACCTCGGCCGCATTTTTCTTCGGCCGTTGATCTACACAACTTCCTTGTAAGCCGACCCTTCATCTAACTGATAAACTATAGTAATATTATAACTGTATGGCGTGGTTATAAACTGACTGCGTAGTGATAACGTTTTTTTTTTCTTTTTTCTAATAAACCATTTATATTAATTTACTCGATTTTCACACAGCAGCTAACCATATGACCCGTCGAGTAACTTGTTATAATATATTTAAATTTCATAATATTTTCATTATTTCATCATTAAAACAACACAATAATAATAGCTTATATCTAACCATTTAAAAAAAGGA